TACAAATAACGACATCTAAAAGAGGAAATTGGAGATCTTTTTACCTGAATTGTATTGTGTTGCTGTTAAAGTATGTTGAGAAACAAGCCAGAAACCATTTCATCACTGAGGGAGTAATGTCTGCTGTTGTGAGTAATGTCTCTGATTGTGTGCGGTCCATCATTAAAGGACATTTAAAGCATTTAAATGCATAACAGACCGCATGCAGGACAAGATGAGGCGCAAAGACAAAGGCATTCTGACCACAGTCCAGTCTGGGATTTATTCCAAGTGAAGAAAGAGAACGATCAAAACTTCAACCAAACATCACTTTGTATACCGACCTCCTCAGATTGGCAAAGACATGGTATTTGGCATGAAAACAATGTTCTGCTTGTACCAGAAGTTTGTCTCTGTGTGTGCACCAAAACAAATAAAAACACAACGGGCTCCACAGATAAGGAAGCAGACTGGAAAAATGTGACGACAGTGCGGCATCTGTAAAAGTAAATGGAAAGTCAAGAGCAAGATGTTTGAGAGCACACAATCATAAATAAATTATGTAAATAAAAGTGTGTGTGTGCATGGGTAGGCTTTTCTTTATTTCACTGGATCTACATACACAACAGAAGGTTTCTGCACACACTGAGCAGCCATATATTAATAATAGGAGTAAAAAAATTATAAAAAGCTGAATCATTTACAACCAAACAGAAACCATCTGAGATGGTAATAAAATGGCAAAAGTGAATACAAAAATATATATAAGAAAAACTATGAGGTGCGCAATAGTTAAAATAACCCCAGAAACATGTAAATGTACCTACATATTATCTGATAGATAGATACTTTATTAATCCCCGGGGGAAAATTTGAGGCATCCAATAGCATGTTCTAATTATACAGAAAAAATAAAGAAGACCATGAGAGAGTCCAAATGACCAAAGGCCAAATGAGATCCAAACTGACCACGACTCAGAGAATGAGAGAGGCAAGAAAATACCAAACTGGATCCAACTAAGAGGAAATAAGGACAATTCTTTACACAAATGGTGCAAAAATATGCAAAAACAGATGATGAAAAAAATAGGTTTGTTTATTAAAAAACGCAAAATGACAAAACATATTTAATCATTTACCATCATCATGCATTTTTATAGGCATTATTTAATAATATTTTTTTTCTTTGACCTTATCCCTAAACTGCACATGTACATTATATTGTCAAAACCTTGAAGCCATTATCATCAGTGATTGTTTCTTCCTGAATATATCTCTGTAGGAACATGAAAAATTCTTGCGTGACCATCACTGTATTCTAATGCTCGCAGTTTTTAATCTTTGACTGTTAGTTTTCACAAAGTGTTTGTTTGAGACTTACTTTTCAGTCTGTTTCTCTCTGTCTCTTTTAAGTTTGCCGTCAGTTTCCATGGAGACTTAATTAGCCACGCATTAATTTTGATCTTGGTTCTTTTGATACTTTTATACAGGTCATATGTCAAAATGTAAGCACTTTTTTCTCAGTTTTGATGTTTGCAATGTTTGTATTGGAATTTAGGGCTGTAGCCGCTTTGGCATCTTTCAGATTTACATCAGATGTTTTCTACATCTTCAAAGCGTAGTCCGGATGTTTTAGAATTTATATTAGGAAAACTAGAAACTACATTACCTAATTTACTTTACCTAAGCTTTGTGTCAAGGTTGGTAATAATGTATCTGCTTCATTGCCTCTTTCCTGTGGGGTTCCACAGGGCTCGATTTTTCGACCCCTTCTGTTCTCACTCTAGTTGCTCCCACTGGGGTCTATCCTGAGGAAACATGTTTTTTCATTCCTTTGTTATGCTGATGATTGTCAGATCTACACGCCTTTGAAAACCAGTTAGTGCTTGCTTCATTCACCACCCTCTACTAAAATGTCTGGATGACAAGACATAGATGGCTTCAAATTTCTTGAGTTTTAATGATCAGAAGACTGAAGTCATTGTCTTTAGCCCTAGCTCAAAGCCACCTCTGATCCTGTAAACCTGGACTCCCTTCAGCCATATCTTAAGCAGTCTTAAAAATCTTGGGATGTTTTAGACTCGGACTTCAAGTTTGACAAGCAAATCAACTCTGAAAAACTTCTTCCAATTAAGGCAGGTTGCTAAACTCAAGCCAGTGTTACCCAGACCCGACCTTTCAAAACTAGTCCATGCCTTTATCACGACCCGATTGGATTATTGCAATGTACTCTATGCTGGGGTCAGCCAGGCCTCCATCTCATGTCTCCAGCTCATTCAGAATGCTGCTGCTCGGCTCTTAACCGGAACTCGTAGAATTGAGCATATTACACCAGTTCTGTCCTCCCTTCACTGGCTCCCTGTGCGTACTAGAATAGATTTTAAAATTCTTCTGTTGACCTATAAGTGCCTAAATGGTCTTGCATCCCTTTATCTCTCTGAGCTTATGGAACCATGTTTCTTCTCAGGCCTTGAGATCATCCGATCATCTGCTTTTGGCTGTTCCAAAAACATGACTGAAGCTCAGGGGTCATGGAGCATTTTCAGTCATGGGTCCCAAACTCTGGAACAACCTGCACCCCCAGCAGGCCACCTCCCTTCCTGTGTTCAAATCTTTGCTAAAAACACATCTGTTTTCTCTGGCATTTCACACAGTGTGAGTTGATTTAGTATTTTTTTGTTCTGTGTTCCTATGTTTTTCTATTAAATGATTTTTATTAATTTTTCAATACTATCATTAGTATGTGATATTTTTTTCAATTAATTTTACTCTCATTGGTGTAATTGTTCAGCACTTTAGTAACAGCTTCTGTTTTAAACGTACTCTTCAAATAAAGTTGACTTGACTAATAATAAACCCCTAATATTTTGTTTGACACCCTTTGTATAGCTCAGAGCTGTCTTCTCAACTGAACGCTTCTGCAAATATCTGTAGATCTACTGAAATGAACCGTGTATACATCTTTGGAGCTGAGGTTGTGGATGTATCAATCAACATGATTAGTGTGTCTAGTCAGTTCAAAGGTTAAATCAACTCCCGGCGAACTGAACTATTCAACACACTCAGCACCATCGTCAAATACACAATCTATTTCAGTGGGCTTGATCAGCACCGATACATTTGCGTAGTAACGTTTAAGTTGTCCAGCTGAGAAACAAAACAAAAAAACTAAAGAAACTCTGTCATGGAGAAGTGTAGATGTTTAATCTGAGCTAATGTAATAGTTTTTCTCCACTTGTATGTCGTTTTTGGGAGAGTTGTTTAATAAGCCTGAAAAACAATATAAAACAGACCTTTATTTGACTAACCATCTGGAGGAACTTTGACGTTACATTTTTCATCCAATCTCTCTACAACTCACTGTACTCAGGTCCTTGTGGTTTTTGATGAGCGCCAGTTCAGTGTGGGGGCAGGTTCGTCATAGTTCAGCTGTATTTTTTTTTTTCTGTCAAGGCAAACAAAGCACAACAATGAGTGAAATAAAGTCACAAAACACTCCGTCCTCAGCCACGCTTTCCCAAAATGCCATGACAGAGTTGAGGCCACCTTCCCTCTGCTGGTCGGAGCCGGTAAGTCTGAGTTCTGTCAGCCAACAGTGAGACCGCAGTAACTGTAGAGACGTCTACACCTCCTCATAGAACCACAAGGGTCGGCTTGAATCTTGTGAAGGACTGACGTTTCTCTCTGGCCAGTCAATAGTCTGCTGACGTCAAATTTTCAGCTTGACAGGAACCTCTACCGAGAAGCTTCTGAGAACAGACTTGGAAACGGTTTGAATCAACCAATGGAAAGACTCTGAAGCTGCTGCGTTGGCCCGATTAGGGCCCATGGAATAATGTCATATGTCTGATATCAGTACCAGTCATGGGAGCTTGAGGGTTCTGTGCAGTATCTGAGCTCTAGTCCACCGTGTCAGCGGTTAAGTCACACGACCTTGGTGTGGGAAGATCACAGGTGCAGAGTTCAAATCTTGGTGCCGACCTTCAATCAACCTCAGCCACACAGTGAGCAAGAGACATAATAATGAAGCCATGCCGGCTTGGACGTCCCCCAGATTAACAAGGTCCACGCCAGATGTTGAGGAAGCAGGACACTCTGATGAGAAATGGGCTACTGGAACAAGATGTGCATGAATGAGGGCAGAGAATTAAACACTGTTGGAATGAACATGTGAGCAAGGTAGAGGGAGGGAAGGATGTGGGAACTATGGAAACTTCAACACCCACCAGAAGCTCAGAAACAACTTCCCACAGGTTCCAACATTCAAGACAGAAATCATACACACACACACATATATATACATATATATATATTTATTTATTTATAAATTTTTTATAAATTATACCTTAGGGCAGGGCTAGAGAAAGCACACCTGTGATCTGAAGGTAGTGTTCGAACCTCCGGACCGACAACATCAAAATGTCTTCCCTCATTTGCCCCACTCTGGGCCCTTGAGCAAGGCCCTTAACCCCACACCATCTGCTCTCCTTGGCCTCTAGATGGCAGCTCTCTGCTCCACACAGAGGGCTGTGGTAGCTGGGTGGTCTGTGGTTTTGTCAGGAAGGACATTCCGGAGTAAAAACAACTGCCAAGTCTTGGTGCCTGACTTAGTTCGCTGTGGCGACCCCTGAAGAAGGGAGCAGCCGAAACAAACATATATATAAATATATATATAAATCTTGTATAAAGCTCACAAACATTCCTCCTGAACAAGGAGTTAATCAAAGTAAAGCCGAGGATGTGTTTGAACAGCTGTGGAGTGTTATCTCTCATATATCGCGCCTCTAACATCAGAACAGGCCTCTGCAGTAATGTAATGTGCCGTTTGATGGCCACGAGGAGAAACTCACCCTGCCTGCAGCTGGAGGGAGCACAGGAGTGGAAACTGACGCGTACGTCACGTGGTGGGAGTTTCCTGCATGCAGGATGTGAGTGACCGAGCTGAGCAGCCAATCAGAAAGCAGCATGCTGATGAGGCGCCTGGACCTTATGTATCGCAGCTCCGAGCACCGACCGGATTCCAGCCGCGCACACCGGAGGAAGCAGCTGATCCGGGCCGAACCTCCCCACACCAGACTCTCCACTTGTCCTTTTTTTAAAAACTTTAGGACTAAGCAAATATTTCCCTGAGGGACATATTTGTTGTACTGCTGAAGAAGAAGGCTCCAGCTGGTCTGAGCTGGGAGGACGCGCTGATCTAACTTCTTTTTGAGACTTCTTCTTGAATCATGTCGGATCAGACTCAGAGGTTCTGCGGGCTGACCTGGGATCAGGTGCGGCGCTTGGACTCGATCCTGGGGGAGGCTGTCCCCATCCACGGCCGAGGAAACTTCCCCACTCTGTCCGTGCAGCCCCGCCAGATAGTCCAGGTATTATCGCACGCACGAGCGCGCGCACACACTTGACTTTGAGCTCAGAGGAATAGTTTTATAATGGAGCACATAAACGAGTCACTTTTTCCACTTGAGGTGGATCTAAGTTTCAAACCTTTTTAAAATTAACTCAACTTTTAGACACCTGTTAAATTGAAAATAAATAAATAAATTAGTTTTAAAGCGTCCCCTCGTGGTCTTTTGTCATTTTGAGAAAGTCACTTTAGTTTTCCTGAAAACTTTCTTCCGTTTCCTCATTGTCAAATTTGATTACACTTTGTTTTCTATATATATAAAAAATACTCTATTAAATAAAATGTAAACCATTTAAAAAATCAGTCTTTTTATATAAGTTAATAAAGCTGGTTGGTGTCTAACTCCTGTACAGCTGAATTTGAGTATAAAACAAAAAGCCTGTATAGATCCAGATATAGGCCACAGTCTCTTTTCTTCATTGTAACTTGATCACATTTCCCCCACCTCCACCCTGTCCTCCCGGTTAGTTGGACTCGGCATTAAAAGTGGATAGAAAGTGCAGGGTTCGAATTTCAAAATGAGCAGGATCTTCTTTTCCATTCCATGCCCCACTCTGACATATTCGAGATGAGCTGGAGAAGCTGGTGGAGCGCACACATGCTTGAGGTCTTGGAAAGATGAATGGTCCATTGAACAGGCGGGGAGGCTTAAATTGGGGGGTTAGATTTCCAAACGATGTGGGGAGGACTCATATTTTTCCACTGGATTTGTGGAATCCCTGTATAATTTAGTGTCTGCTCAGAATTTTAACATCTGCTGCATAGATTTATCATTTCGAGTGGGTTTGATCAGTAAAGATGTTGCTCCTCCTGTTGGGAATCACAGGAGATGTGAACGACACATCGGACCTTTGTCCCACAATACACTGCTGCTGGCATCCACACTGAGTCCAGAGAGTCCCAGCAGTACAGGGGTACCCAACCCTGGTCCTTGAGGAACACCATCCTGCATGTTTTAGTTGTTTCCCTGCTCCAACACGTTCAGTGATTGAATTACTTCATCAAGGTTTGTATGTTAGTCACCTATTATTCATTCAAATCAAACGTGTCAAAGCAGGGAAACAATTAAAACATGCAGGGTGGTGTTCCTCAAGGGTCAGGGTTGGGAACCACTGATTTTTAAGAGCATAACAAAAGCTGCTTTCGATGTCCAGATATTTGTCATACGACTTATGACGAGATTCATGACACTAATTAATTTATAGTTTTTGAAAAGAGACAGAATCTGAAGTCTTGTTTCTGGCAGGGTTTAATGTTAAGCCATTGGGTTAATTTGTTTACTTCCAGGGGCAGGACTGGTGGTGCCTTTACTACTCGCCTGTATCCAAGCATGCTGAGGGTTGACTTGTCTGCTCTGAGGTATCAGAACTCCTAAAACCCACAATCATAGGTTCTGATTGGAGTTTAAACCCAATTCACTCCACTTTATGGCTAAAAGATAGCAATCAACTCAATGGCTGCTGTCATAATGTAGTTCTTCTGGGAGGTGGTGCGTGTGTGTGTGTGCGCGCTTCAAGTTGCCTCGCCTTTCACTGTGTGTCTACAGCCTGACCTACTATGTATAAATAGAGCCGACATGTTATCTGATCACCATGGGAGAGAGAGTTAACAACCACTAATCTGACAGGTCAGTACCGTAGGGGATTTGGGATTGTGTTTGAGCAACTCATTTGTGCAGCGGGTGCTAATGGTTCAATTGTCTGACCACAGTTTCTTTTTTTTATTTTTATCTGACCAGGCCATGTAAAACACGACACATGCACAGTTTAGCATCAAGCTCACCTGCGCTGGACACGCTGAATGACTTTGACGGGCATTCCTGATGGATTACCTACCAGGGATGCTTCAAATTGGATTGGAAATTGGTTCTGTGAAAGATTATGAACAATTAAGGTCTTACCTGTTGTAGATATCGCTCTGAACGATCTCAATCTAAAGAAACGTGGTTAACCTCTTACCTGATTGACAAGCTAATGGCTAGTCTGACTGGAGCCAAGAACAAGGAAAGATTGCTGCTGTCTCAGAACGGCTTCAAACGTTTCACTGAAGCTTTTCTATAAGACTGCACCAGAAGTGCTACAGCAAGTGCTGCTGCTGCTGCTACTTTTCCTTGCAAATCATCAAACCTTTACAAAACTAACTGTGAAATTGAGCTCCATGTAGTTTGTAAAACTTAGAGTTTTGTGATTCTGGCTCCCGCTCAGGCTAGCTGTTAGCTCCTTAATCTGGTCAGAATTAAATGATTTCTTTAAGAGCTATTTAAAACAGGTAAGATGTTAACTGTATAACCTTTCCTCAAAACCACAATTTAAACGTTTTGAACTGTAGTTTAAAGAAAAGAGCAGTTTGTGTTTTATCAGAAAATACTTTTCAGTCACTAAATGAAAGCTGCCAGTCTAGCTGTGTCACTGGAAATCAAGCATGTAGAACTGGTCAAGACGACTCACTCAACCTGCTGTAATAATAATCCCAATGACACACTTTACAACACACATCTGCTCCCTTCAAGCACAAGATTGATGTCCTTCTATGTTGTTTGAATCCACTTTTGTAAAACCGTGTCATCTTCCAACATGGCAACAGATCTGTATAGTTTTTGGACAGCTCTCTCCCTGCGCCACCTTAAAAGTGTTTTGGTCACAGGTCAGAACTACTCCTCTTATCTGTGACTTTGATAAAACAGTTTGACCCAGGGGAAGATAAACCTGAAGACTTTCCAACTCTAGTAATTTTTTTTTAACGTTTATTTTAGGTCAGAAGTGTTAAACTCACTAACTAAAGGGGGCCAAAATTAAACCCCCTTTCAAACCAAGGGCCAATTTCAGAAACTACATTAATTCAAGTTAAAAACCCAACATCTTTTCTTTGTTATAGTTTCCTCAACAAGAGTTTGATTGGTCTCATTTGATGTTCTCTTTTGTGCTTTCAACATCATAATCAAAGATTATTAAAAACAATTCAAAATATGGAAGTACTTTATGTTTCACACATCATCTTGAGGGCCAGATAAGATGTCAACGAAGGCCACATTTGGCCCCCGGACCTAGAGTTTGACACACATGTTTTAGGGTGATGGTGATAAAATGTACTTTTTCAAGCACGGGTATTGATCTTACCTTCACCATGTATTGATTTCCACTTGTAGGGTTTACTTCAACATGTGTTTAAATGTTTGAGCAGCTTATTTATTTATTTATTTGAAATAATATAAAAAGAAGCTATACGAATGCTGTATTTCATATGTAACGTGTGTTTGTACAGGTGGTGCAGGCGAGGCTGGAGGAGAGAGGAGTGTGTGTTAAGGACGTGAGGCTGAACGGTTCTGCTGCCAGCCACGTGCTCCATCAGGACAACGGGCTGGGCTACAAGGACCTCGACCTGATCTTTGGTGTGTCTCTAAAAGATGACCAGGCCTTCCGTCTGGTGAAAGACGTGGTCCTGGACTGCCTGTTGGACTTCTTGCCTGCCGGAGTCTCTAAGGAGCGCATCTCGGCGCTGACCCTCAAAGAGGCATACGTTCAGAAACTGGTGAAAGTCTGTAACGACACAGACCGCTGGAGCCTCATCTCGCTGTCTAACAACACTGGCAAGAACGTGGAGCTAAAGTTTGTGGACTCGCTAAGACGGCAGTTTGAATTCAGCGTGGACTCCTTCCAGATATGTCTTGATTCGCTGCTTTTATTCGATCGGTGCTCGGAGACTCCCATGTCGGAGAGCTTTCACCCCACAGTGGTTGGGGAGAGCGTGTACGGAGACTTCCAGGAAGCTATGGACCATCTGCGTCGGAGGACCATAGCCACGCGCAGCCCTGAAGAAATCCGAGGTGGCGGCTTGTTGAAGTACTGCCACCTGCTGGTGCGCGGGTTCACGCCCGCCTCAGAAGCAGACATGAAGCAGATGCAGCGCTACATGTGCTCGCGCTTCTTCATTGACTTCCCCGACCTAGGCGAGCAGCAGAGGAAGCTGGAGGCTTACCTGCAGAACCACTTTGCTGGCATGGAGCACAAACGGTATGAATGCTTGCTAACTCTGCACCAAGTGGTCAACGAGAGCACCGTGTGTTTGATGGGCCACGAGCGGCGCCAGACGCTCAGCCTTATCTCCATGCTGGCGCTGAAGGTGCTGGCAGAACAGAACGCCATCCCTACGGTGACGAACGTCACGTGCTACTACCAGCCGGCACCGTACGTGCAGGACATCAACTTTAGTAATTATTACATTGCACACGTGCAGCCGCCGCATGTCATGCAGTGCAGTAACTCATATCAGACATGGCTGCCCTGCAGCTGATCCATGACTGCTCTGCTCTTTTGGAGGAGGTGAACTAAAATCACAGAAGAATGAAATTTGCCAAATTTGACTTGACCAAAACAATCCTGTACTGCTGCGCAGCTGATTAAACCGACGAAAACAATGCGCTTCATTTACCTCAGAAGTTAGAGCTGGAATCTGGGAATTATGTCACACCCTGTTCGGTGTAAAGTCAGAAAACAAGTTCTAACGGCTGCGCCCAGTGGCCAGGCTTTTATTAGAAACTCAAGCTGGTAATGTATTTCACCACTTTCATGCACTCAAACACCATAAGGCAGTGGTTCTCAGATTTTTTGGGTTCAGGGGCACCTTACCAGGGAGAAAAAGTTTCAGGGACCCCCTCATAACCCTCATGTTTATTAAATAATTTTCTTCAATTTGTCTCTTTAATGCAACGGAAATATTTGTGTAAAATTAATACTTAAAACCTGTTCTTTAATCGTGTTAATAATGCAATTCTTATACTTTAAACATGGGGTATTTTTCATTCAAAACACAATTAATTAAATTTTTTATTTCAACTTCCAAAAATTACAGTTTTGAGAAAATGAACGGTATCAAAAACCACTTGAAAACTTTACATATTTACATAATGAAGATAAATGTTTTGCCACTTATTCAATTTATTACAGAAAACTCTTTACACAAAACTGAACAGAATCACAACAGCAGTAGTCGGACCAAGTAACAGGATTTCATTTGTAAGGGTTGATACACATCTGTATGCTTGGGAAAAAAAAAAAAAAAAAAAAAAAAAATATATATATATATATAGTTAGTTATTATTATGGACCCCTAAACACCAGTTTGCGGACCCCCGGGGGTCCGGGAACCCCAGTTTGAGAACCACTGCTGTAAGCAACAAGTTTAAAAACAGGGGCTTGGAGCATTATGTGTAAAACACATTTACTGGTGTTTAAATTGACAGAAATGCAAATTAATAGCTCATGTGTCAGACAGCCATGTTGAGTTTTGAGGTCAGGTTGATGTGTGAAGCCTTCTGTGCTCCAGCTGTTTTTTTTTAATCACTTGGAACATGGAAATTCCAACTGCCATGTCCACATTGGGTGCACTAAAATTCTTCTATGTTTTGTCTTGAAGAACATCTGTAAGATTGCTGGTCATTTCTGAGATGTAGCTATATAAAACCTTATTTAAGTATTAAAAAAGGAAGTCTTTAAGAAACTTTATATATTTCGAAAAACTCTTTTGGAGAACATTGACACTGGTGTAGTTTTCATATACCGGTGTATATATTTTTTTCAATGTTGGACCAAAGATGTATTGCTCTGAAAAAACATGTTATAATTCCCAGTGCCTAAAAAAATCCACACAATGTTCTAAACGCATCTGTAAAAAGTGAAAACTGTGAATTCAATGTTTTCTAAATCACTCTTGTCTCTCTTTTTGTAAATAAAAAAAATATAATTTTTTTTTTGCAATTTAAAAAAAGTGAGAAAAAAAAGTTATTTGCATTGTGGTTATTTTGTGTTACTTCCATAATGATTTTTGACATTTTACTGAATGGTTTCAGAGTCTGTGATTAGTTTGAAGAGGTTCTGAGCTGCTTCACCACCCTCTCAGTCGAGCTGAAAACTGAATAAACATCACCCTTTTCATTAAATATGGGAAACTTTGGCTGAAAACCCACACATTGAATGATCAGAGCCTTTGTCTGTCCTTCTCCTGATTGGAGGAAGGTGAACAATAGATCTCTAAACTAAACTAGACAAATTGTATTTCCTGCAAAAATACAATATGAAACAGCTGAAATGAGCTAAAAAAACATTCTGAAATGTAGTTGAAATGGAAGAGCAAGCCTAAATTAGCAGGAAAAAAGCAGAAAGAACACATATTTTCTGAATTAGGTTTAAATAAGCAGAAATGAGCAAAACAAAATAAGAAATTAGCTAAAATACATTATGAAATGTAGTTGAAATGGTAGAACAAGCCTAAATTAGCAGAATAAAGCAGAAGTAACGTATATTTGCTGAAATGGGTTTAAATAAGCAGAAATTAACACAAAAATTAGGAAATTAACTAAAGGCTGAAATTTGCCAAAAAATATCCGAAAAGTATCTGAAAAGACAGAAGCTTAAATAACCAGAAGTGGCGGGTGCACATTTTTGCTTAATTAGGCTGAAAAGAGTTTAAATTAGGGCAGCACGGTGGCGCATCTGGTAGAGCTGCTGCCTCTCAGCGAGCAGGTCCTTGGTTCAAACCCCGGTCCAGGGGCCTTTCTGGGTGGAGTTTGCATGTTCTCTCTGTGCATGCGTGGGTTTTCTCCGGGTACTCCGGTTTCCTCCCACAGACCAAAAACATGCATGTTAGGCTGATTGGTAACTCTAAATTGTCCCTAGGTGTGATTGAGAGAGTGAATGGTTGTTTGTCTCGTTTGTCTCTATGTGGCCCTGTGATGGACTTGCGACCCGTCCAGGGTGTACCCCGCCCCTCGCACAGTGATTGCTGGACATGGGCACCAGTGACCCCCGTGACCCAAAATGGAATAAACGGGTAAAGAAAATGGATGGAGTTTAAATTATTGCAAAAAAAATCTGGAATTAGCTGAAAAAGCTAAAATTAGCATAAAACACCCAAATAGTTGCTGAAATAACTTAAATTAGCTGAAGTGGAAAAAAGCATAAGCAGAAATTAGAAGTAATTTAATTAGGCTAAAAGCAGAAATCAGCATCAACTTGAATTTATCTGAAAACAGCTGAAATTAGGTTAAAAATGCTATAAACGTAGCTGAAATGTAAAACACGCTTAGAAGAAAGCAGAACATATTTGCCCAGTTTGACTTAAAGAAGCAGAAATGAGCACAAAAAAAAAAAAATCTGATAAAAGCTGAAATTAGGAAAAAAAAAATGCTGAAAAGTGGCTAAAAAAAGCAGAAAGACGCCATAGCCCCTTCTCCTGAACGAGCTGAACGTTTTGATATGATTTGTTGAAATGGCACAAAAAAAAGTGGAACAAGATGCCGACAAACGTACGGAAGAAAAATGAGTATGAATGCTTCATGAAACATTCACACAATAATGACAACAAGCTGGTTCATTTCCAGCATTAAGACTCAGTGAAGTCCTTCCACAGTTCGCTGGAGTGAGTTGGATTTGTAAATTGGAGCTGAGGATCTATTACCACCTGAGGACATGAACCATAAGGAAGTTTTTCTGCAGCACAATGACTTCTCTCTCCTCTCTGATACCAAAGTGTTTCAACAAAGGCTGGCTTGTTCTCCCCTTCATTTCACCACTGAAAATCCTGCCCGCTCTGCTCAACTGATACATATATCCACTTTTATCTCCGTCAAAATGGAAACAATAACGTTTGTGAAAAGACAAACCAGGAATGCCACCATTCATCAAACCCTTTGGATCGTCCTTCTTGACTGACTACATTTGTGCTGAAATCTGAGCGTGAAAAATACAAGCTAATTTTTTCCCACACATGACCACACACACACACAATCATCCCTTGATCATGCTAAAATCTCCGAATTGATGCTGAAAGATGGAATTAAAAACGTGGTGTTGCTGTAAATATGCTCACTCAGCTGTATTCCTGAAATGATCTGATAAATGCAGGGTAGCACAGGTTCTGCTTAAAAATCCTAGCGCACTGGGGGGAAGTGCTGCTGCCAACATAAGGAACAGAAAGCCTATAATGTTCTAATATGAAATTATTGCATTTCGTCATATCTTGCACGCATGACCAGACTAACCAGCTAAGGGGCCTTCAGGCCCCCTGTTTCATGGCAGTGTGTGCAAAGTGTTCAGCTTCATTCATTTAATATTCCACATCATATGAAACTCTCTGTCATCACTTTCCTGTGTTAAATATTGACACAGAATAGATTATTTTCTTTCACCCCTCCCTTTTAGACATAAAACCAAAACAAAGTATTTTAGTTTATTAAAATTTAGTCTTAGCTTACCTTGAAGAGCAAAATAAAAAAGTAATTCCATCTTATTTCATGTTTAGAATGAATTATTTGATTTACCACAATGTTGTACAATGTTATAGACTTTAGATGCTGTTCTCAGTTACATTTCTCAGTAAAAGGTTTTGTAAATATCATAGCGACACAACTACAACTGCCTGAACAACGTGAGAAAATTAGCATTTTATTTATTACAAATACATAAATCCATCTAAACTATCTGCCTCCCACCAGCTGGCATCATTTTCTGTACTGGCTTTAACCTGTTCAGTGTTGTGAAGTGGGGCTGGAGCTGATCCCAGGAGACGTCGAGTGGGAGGGGACACGCTGGACAGTCCATCACAGAGTCAACGTAGACACACACGTGTGTGTGTGCATGCACGCTCACGGTTACCCAGAGGGAAAGGCAGAAAGACCCCAGCTCAGATTCAAACCATGACCTTCTCACTGGGCGGCCACAGTTCAAAACTGCTCCAGTTCTTTAAAATTAGGTGGACTAAAAGAAACTCTGGACACCTTGGAGGTAAAGTTTACAACATCTGCCCATTTCAACCTTCAAAGACTCTATTCTGTTCATATTCTTCATTTTTTAATTTACTGTACCACATTTTATCTATTCATTATTTTACTTCATACACTTTTCAGCACAGAAGCACCACTGTCCTCTTTTGAATAATGACTGAAGTGCTTCTTTTCTTGGCCAGGCCACTTACAGCAGGAGATTTAAAATATCAGTGTCACTTTTTTCCTATTTAAATAAAAAGTTAGATTAAAAATAGTGGTGTCAAGGGCTTAGATTTACACAGTTGCTATAATTACCAGAACCAAGTGACACAAATTGAACGTGGCATTTTTAATTTGTTAACTCTGAGTGGAGCAGAGTTTATGCTCAGTCCCTTACTGTGAGCAGCATCACAGTTTGAAGGCTTCTTTGAAATAAAGTAACAAAACAGACGACGTACGGTAGCTTTCTTCCATGCTTGCACTTCTACAGGTGTTTAAAGTGGAGGTATGATATGCAAACATATACACAGTCACATGCATTACACTGCTTTGAGATGAGCTTCTCATGTGGTTATTTTCACTGCCATGTGCAGTAAACAGGAAAACTGTCAGAAGAGATAATCAATGTCTTGATACTATTACTACAAAAATGGCTGACTCAGCAAATTTTACAGATACGGAGGTACAAATTGATGTAGTAGTTGCTGAGGTTTATCCCTGACACATGCTTAGGCTGCAGCTAATTTGGGTACCACTTTACAATAAGGCCCTTATAGACGGCTAATAAATAGTTTATAGATATGTTATTAACTCATTTGAAACACTTTATAAATCATTAATAATTGTTTATTAAGCATTAATTAAGTGTGACAGAGAGACAAAACTGACCAGTTTCTTGCCAAATAGTGAACCAAATTTGTTCACCTATGTATTTCATCTAGAGTTGTTATATTAAACCTTTCAGACTAAGTTACTACCTCGTAATCACAATAAGCATTTACAAACCTATTTCTTTAGCATATAATATTGTACTTTATCACTGCATTATAAGTATCTACATCTAATATTATATCCTAAAAAATAGGTTTACAAATGCTTATTGTTCTTACAAGGTAGTAACTTAATCTGAAATGTTTAATATAACAACTTTAGATAAAATATACAGGTGAACAGATTTGGATCACTATTTGGCAAGAAACTGGTCAGTTTTGTCTCTTTGTCACCCTTAATTAATGCATAATAAACAATTATTAATGAGTTACAAAGTGTTTATAGATGAATTAGTGATGTATCTATAAACTAGTCATCTAT